TTTTGTTTTATAAATGTGATAGTGAAACTTTAGAAAAAAATTTAATAACTCAGGCTGAAACTAAAATATAAGAATATCTAATTGTCAAGTCTAAGAATTCTGATTTTCTATTCATTTCAAGAATAATTGTAATTTGGTCATATTTTCAATGTTTTGAAGAATTACAATAAAAAAAAATTCATAAGGACTTTATTAGAAAGGATGCTACTTCTTTAAGCCTTAACATAGAAATGTAATTAAGTTCATTTCCATAAGATGATTCAAGTGGAGCTAATTTTTCATTAGGCATCTCCTTAAGCTTCTTCTCACACTTTTTCATTATTGCTCCTCATTTTAATTTTTCTTTTCTTTTTTTTTCTTTAGGATCTTTTTTTATCATTTCTTTTTTCATTTCATGTCATGTGATGATTATTATATCTGAATAACATTTAATGATTCATTGCTCCTCATTTTAATTTTTCTTTTCTTTTTTTTCTTTAGGATCTTTTTTAATCATTTCTTTTTTCATTTCATGTCATGTGAGGATTATTATATCTGAATAACATTTAATGATTTTGAACTCCTCCATCCTCTTCTTAAAGTTATATTTTCCACATTTCCTTATTTTGACAAAATTGTATTAGTTTTGAAAAAGAGTTTTTCATAAAGTCTTAATTCCTTCTTTTTAAAGTAAAACTCTAAAAGTCTTAACGATTCCAAAAATATATTTTTCTTTACTTTAAATAGTAAAAACATAATCTTATCCTCTCATATTAAATATTTTAATTTTAGAACTAACATTTATTTTTAAAAATTTTAACTTAAGTTTTCTATGACATTTATAAAATTTAAAATATAGTTAGCTTAAGTTATCCTAACATACCAAATGTTATAAAGACAAGTGAAATTAGCATGTAAAAATAAAATACTATTCTAGCATTTACATTAAAGCAAAAGATAAACATTAAAAACAGTTTAATAGTTTAGTGCAATAAACATAACTTTAACAGTTTACACAAATGTAAATTTAAACACTCTAACAAACTTATATCAGCAAACTAACTACAAGAAATATAAACATGAAAACAGAAAATAAAACACAACAAAATAAATAGATAACACTTCACATCATCATCACCATCATTTTCATCATCATCATCATCATAATCATCAAAGCCTACATCCTCCTCCATATCATCAGGTTTATAAGGTGTATGTATGGGGCAAGTAGGAAATACTACGTAGTAATCACCCCTTAAAAATTTCTCCATCGCCTCATGATAAGCAATATCATGATCCACTCTTCTTTACATATACCCATCATTATGATAAAGATGGGCTTATAAACTTTTTTATTGATTTTGTAATGTTAAGATATCTCCTTGTTGAATAAATAATTGTTCCATTACA